TTGGCCTATGTCCTTTGTTTTGGTTAAATAAATCTCAAAGAACTAAATATAAATAAAGTATCTCTTTGTACATGTCTCCTTCATTTGCTTGAGCTCCACCATCCTTGAGGCCATGAACCTCACCTGCTGGTGGGAAAGGTCAACACTGACTTATGGAATTCAAAGTCATGCAATGTGATGGGTGCTGAGGGTTGAGAGAGTTAATTAACTCTGGCTGTGGAGATCAAAAACAACTGGCCAAGGAGGTGCCACTCACCTGTACTTTGAATAATGAGTGTAATGGTGATCTGGAGAGAATTTTGGTGAAGAATGAACAAGATTAGGAAAGAATGAAATGAGATGGAGAACAAAATGAAGAAAGTCAGCATGCAAGCATGTGTCTGGTGGGGCTGAGGCTGAGGGCCCAGACTGTAGAAGAGGAGGAGACTATAGAGATGGAGAGATGGAGCGGGATGGCTTACAGAGGGCCTGGGATTCTAGACTAAGAAATTCAAACTTTACTCTTTAGGCAGTGGAAAATCTTTGAAAGTATTTAGCAAGATGTAACTTTTAAAGATGTGCCATTTCCAGAAACAACTGGGGCACAGTATGGAGGGTTGATTGGAGAGGGGTGAAGTGGGAGCCTGGAACACCCAGCTGTGGGATTGATCTGAGCAAGAAATAATGAGGGCTGAACTTAAAGAAGGCTAGGAAACACAGACCAGAGGAGGAAAATGAGAAGCAATTTTAATACAATTGGCAAAGCTGGAGAAAGGGGAAGAGAGGATGTCAAAACTGGTTTTGATGTTTCTAGCTTTGGTATCTAGAGTAATAATGAGGCTGGTAACCAAGATGTAAATCTCAAGAAACAGGGAAGCAATTGAGTGGAAAGTTTAAGTCCAATTTAAGTTCTAGGAACTGAAAAAAACAATGCCCAGTCTCTTTTTGAACTTCTCCCTGCAAGCCCCAAGTAGTATGCACCAGGGCTACTAAGATGGTCTCCTGTCACTGGGCGGCTTTCTGATGGAAATACATGTAAAACCAGAAGGTGCAGCAGAAGGAGCAGAGCCAAGACTGCTAGACTCATCATTGCCTCATTTCTGTTTTGCTTGAGTTTGAGCAAATGCACTTAACCTAACATGATTCTGCTTCCTCCTCAGTAAATGGAAATACTAAGAATAGGGTGTATATACAGCACTTTGCATGGCATCTAGAATGCAATGTTGAGCAAGCACTAGTTATTATAATTGTCACTGGCATCATTACTAGTTTTCACAGCCCTGGAGACAGGACATTTTTACTACCATGTGGCTTGGATTACTGTAGGTTTATTAAGACAACCTGACTTCCTATATCTATAACACATAGAGATTCTGGTTGGTGTACCATGAAATGAAATATAAAAAAGATAGCTCAGAGTGAGCCCTGTCATTCCAGAGAATGGCATTCCCTTTGCCCTGGTTTTCCCTGAGTTCAGACTGTGCCCCCAATTTTGTGTGTTGCTGGCTCAGAAGGTGCCTAGGCTTGGCCACAGTATGGTCAGTTTTCTTTGTTCATTTGTAGTATCAGCTCCCATTTCCTTGCATCTGCTCTAGACAGGTACTTTTGACTCAGTACTTCTAACTCAGTAAGACACGTTTTAGACCTATTTTACAAAAAAGGAAGTTAGGATTGAGAGGGCACAAAGAATGTCTCAGGACACAAAGCAGTTAAGTGTAAACTGAGCCTGGCCTTTTCTCTGCTTGTCCAGCATTTTGGGGACTGTGGGCAAGGGCCAGAAGAGGAATCAGGCTAGGAAGGAAACTCCAATTCCCTTCCCTTGTTTTCTAGATAGTATCCTTGGCACTCCTTAGAGCACTTGTCTGGAGTCTTTCAGAAATCATAGCCACCTAGAATCATAGACTCCCAGGTCTGAATCATCCAATCAGTGCTGGAGAACTGCCCACAGTGTCACCCACCACCCCCATATTCATACAGGCTCTCAGGAGCTCATGTCCCCCCACAACAGCCAATCCTATCAGTGGGGGAACAATTCTTAGAACATATTCCTCTATTTTGTACTATCAGTTTCCACCTATAACTTCTGCTCAGTAGCACAAGTTTGACTCCTTAGGATACAATAGAAATTGAAATTTTACTTTCTCTGTGTAATATACACAACACCCCCCTGTCTAGAGCAACAAGGACCCTAACATTCCTTCCTATACTGCTGTAATGTGAGACTCCCTTTTTGTCATGCAGAGTATATTTTACACTCTTTACAAAAGGTTCCACACAGCCATCCACAGCTCTCTGTTCTTTCCTCTGTTCTTCCCCTGTCTCAGCTTTTCACAAGCTCCTTGGGCATCCACTGATTTCTCCAGGAAATGCTAGAGAAATTCTCTTCTTACCCAGGGCCCATTAATGACTACAAGTTCAGACTTGCATATCTGGGAGCTTCCGCACTTTCTCAGTCAGCTTCTATTTTAGGGTTTCTGGTCCTTGGTTCCTATCAATCTCCTCAGTGAATTCTGAGAGGTCTAAGCAACTTGCCTGCCCAGGCATGTGGCTCTTCTTTCCCCATGGAATTCCACAAATGGCTAAATGTTAGTATGAGGGGTCATGAACTCAGTCATAGTTTTTGCAGTTTCTTCAAGAAGGGCCTTCTCTTGGATTCCTCCACACTTTGCTTTTGCAGTAAGCCCTACTCTCTTTCTACCACCTGCTCCACAAACCCCTCTTCCTTCCACTTAGAGAACAGACCTTGTGAAGGAGGGGTATTCTCAGGGATGGAAGAACACCCCTAACCCTCAGCCTCCTTCCAACTAGGCCCAGTGCACAAGAGGACAAGGCTTCATGAGGAAAAGGCTGTGGAGAGAACTCAATCCAGACAGTGCCAATCATGTCAGGAGAAATGCTTTTTAGCTGTAATAAAACTTAAGCAAACCAGTTTAACAATAAGGAACAGGTAAGTAAAGCAGCTCCATAACTACATCCCTGTGTTTCTCCTCATCTCACTGGGCAGACACCACTCACTGGTTATGCCTTCTGCCTCCACCCCCTCACCTTCATCATGGGTTAGCTGCCCAAGTGGATCCAAATGGAGAAACAAAACCTGTCCTTGGGCCCCTTGTTAAAAGTGAGGGACTTTCCCAGAAATGATCAACACATGCCACTTCCAGGCTATTTGGTCAGAATTAGGTCATATTCTCATTCCTTAACTAAAGTCACTAGTAAGGGGAGGCTATAACAAGAATGGGTGAGCTAAACATAACCCATTACCCAAACCCTAGAAGGGCTTCCTGTATTCAGAGCCTGAAGGTATCAGTCACAAAACAAAATCAACTGCCATCAGCAAGTACCAAGTAAGGGATGCTATGGGGCCAGCCAGAGAGAATATGTTCCCACAGGGCATGGAACCATGGCCTGCTGACCCATGAACCCCAGCAGCTCCATCTGTGCAGTACAGTGTGGGCCAGAGACCAGGTAGCAATATTTGAGGGATGGGGTTCAGGTATCAAGATCTGAGGAAAATTGGGAAGTTTGGAGTTGATAAACAGTCTGCTGTTAAACACAGTCAACTCACCTGAGGAATAAATGTGTTAAATCACACATTTTAAAACTTGGCCTGAAAGGTCACACAAACACAGAGGTTCTTAAATTCATTCAAAGGGGAGGATGAAAAACAATGGTAGTCTTTATAGAATGCTATGAAATCTTGATCAAATTAATCAATCAAAATAGAATCATCTTAATAGCAAAAAATATGTATTTATTATATGACTATGTATCCATCCTCACAAAAGGAAAAAAGTGGATTATACTTGAGTTTTCACTTATGACTAGAATATGGTCTTTTTTTTTCTAATTTGTTTGGTTGTTTTGTTGTCTCTCCCATATGAGAAAAGGGGTACAGATTTCAGAGAATGCCTTGGAGGAAAACTAAAACTTTCTATCATTTAATCTCTTACATAAATTAGTAAATTAAGAATTATGCTAAGTGAAATAAGCCAGGCAGTGAAAGAAAAATATCACATGAACTCACCTATAACTGGAACCTAATCAATAAAACAAACAAGCAAGCAAAATATAACCAGAGACATTGAAATAAAGAACAAACTAATAGTAACCAGAATTGTGGGGGAGGGATAATGGGGAAAATAGGAGAAGGTCCACCAAGGAACATGTGAAAAGGACACATGGACAAAGCCAAAGAGGATAGGTTTAAGGATGGGAGGTGGGGAAGGGTGGGGCAAGAGGCCATGGTGGGGTGAAAATGGAGACAACTGTACTTGAAAAACAATAAGAAAAAAATTAATTAATGAAAGCCCACAATGTCCAAATGTGAAAGCTGGTTTCTTGGTGCAGCTCTCAGAACACACTTTAAGAACCACCAATCTAGCCAAACCCTCTCATTTATTTTCTACAAGTTACTGAGACTAATAAATATGTTTGTGTTTCCTCAAGGTCACCAGTTAATTATTGGCATAGCAACTCCTGTCCCAAAGAATCATAGTGATTTCCCACATCACATGTCCAGAGACACATCAGGAATAAAAGAAGGTTGTCATGTGACATGGGTCTGAGCTAAGAATGTCTGGTCAGAATCCAAACCTGCCACAGACTAGAAAGATTTCTAATCCACCTATGTTCAGAAAAATAGAAGCTTAGAACTCATTTCAGAAGTTGTTTTTGCTTGTGATTTAAAGGTGCATCTTTCTCTCCCACATATGCACAAATAGGGACCTGCATGCACACTGTCACCTCCAGACCCCATCAGCCTGAGGACCAGGTGTGTCTCTGTCCTGCCCAGTAAGGAGGGTTGTAGGCTGGCTGTTTGGCAGACTTCCTCCTCCCAGCCAGAAACAGTTAATTGCCTGCTCCAGGCTGCCTGCCTCCAGCCCAGCCTTAATCGCCCTGATCTCAGGCTGCCACTAGGGCCATAGCAGTGTCTCAAAGTAGTGGGAACATTCTTCCAAGGTAATGATTAAGCTCAGTGCCTGACAAGGGCACAGGCAGCCAAGCCAGGAAGGTGAGCCCTATTCACACCTCAGCCAGGCTACAGTGGCTGGGACTGGTTTGGGAAGGCAGGGCCTCAGGGAATGAGGGCTCCAAGCTGGCAGCCACAGTGTCCCACTGCACACAGGACATATGAGAGCATCTCAGGCGAGAGCCTCTGCTGACAGCTGTGCCAGGACCCTGCCCTTGCCCCAACACCATGAAGCTACAGGTGTTCTGGACTGGGCTGGAATATACCTGCCGGCTCCTGGGCATCTCCACTGCAGCAGGTAAGACCCCACCTCCCTCCTGTAGTCTCCTGCATACTGGGCAGAGCAGACAGGGCTTCCTGAGGGGTGGAAGCCATCTGACCAGGGATAGGCTAATACATCTGACCATGTCTGCCCTTCATTTTCTTTCCCAAAGCCCCCCAAATCAGTGTTATGCAGGGCAGCACTCGATGCAAAGAAATCAAAGGGCCTGGTGTTAAATATTTATTTGGCAACCTACCAAACTCCTCATCTTCTAAATGAGTGGAAGGCTCTGCCCCATCTCATGGAGGTCTGTTGTGAGGTGGGGACTGAAGGTTAAGGTATAAAAGGCCGAATGCCTCACTGTAGAGTTATGAAAATGGTCAACAGGGTGCATCTGGTTTGTTGAAATCACAGCCCCTATCATGGGAGAGAATTTTCAGCACTCAGGCAGGCTGAGCTAGAGGGCTGGTTATGAAGATCTTCATGCACTGTGTGATGCATGAAGATCCCTTAATGCACTGTGTGATGCACTGTGTGATGGGGGCTTCCCTTAATGCACTGTGTGATTCAGGGAAATGGTTCCCGCTGCAGGGCTCCTCTCCCTCGCTGGCCTGATCCCAGAGCTGTTCTACTTGCTAGGAGGATAGATGGAGCAGAATCAGTGCAACTGTAATCCTGAGTGCTGTCTGCTTACTTCCCCAGTGCAAACCCTGACCCTGAGCTTCATGTCCCCCATATGGCCAGGATCTATGTAGGGGGAGTAAGTAGGCAGTATTCTCAGCTTTTAGTTCTGGGCCACACTGTCCCTTGGGAACAAGGAGGAGATACCCACTGCTCCTCCAGTAGTACTCCACCTTTGGAAAATGGGAAATGTCCCCCAGGTCAGACTCAAACAGTACTGCTTCCAGCCCCAGCCTGTCACTTGCCAATGTGTGACCATGGAAGAGCCATCTGGGCCCTTTGGAGTTGAGCTATCTGGTCTGTACAGTAGAGGTAATTAGACCAGCTGGCCAGCTGTTTTGTAGGATCAAGGATGCATGAACAGATCATAGCTAGCTGAAACTGGGGATAAAAAAAGCTCTTGGGAGAAGCTCAAGAGATCCATAGACTGGTCTGTGGGCTCTGCAGCATGTAAGCCCTGAGTTAGCACAGAAAGTGCTATTTGAAATTATCTAATCCTGCTTTTCCTGTTATAAGATGGAGCATCTGAGCTCAAATAGGGGAGTGACCTTAGCCAAGGTTACATTGCAGGTCAGAGGGACAGCCAACCTGGATCCCTGGTCCCTTGACGTTCAAAAAGGCCAGGACCCTGACCAAAGAACTCTCTGGTTTACAGGATAGGAAGTCACACCCAGGCGACACCAAGAAGGATCTAGAATTGCTCTGCTGAGAGTCCTTATTAAACGAGCTGGTGGGGGAGCCTGTTCCAGACTCTGTCAAAAACACTTGTAATCTATGCTATGGGAATGACTGCCAAGGCCCCCAACTGCCATCCTAGGGAAGGGAAGTTAACCCTAAATAGGTTTCTACATCTGGGTTCAAGTTCTGGTCTACAACGGTTGATCTTGACTTCACCCCGCCTCCTCTAAGCCTTGGTTTCCAAATGTGGAAGCACATCCTTTTCAGCTATCAGGTGTCACAATGAATCTCCCTGCCACATTCTGCCCAGAGTTAACACCTGCCTCCTGTCTAAAAACTATTTTAAGATGTATCTCTCCTTCTAATGGATTAGTTAAAGACAGTTTAAAAGTCTGATTTATCTCAGCCAGAGGAAAAGTCTGCAGCCATGTACATACATGCACATGTGAGCATTCCTTTTAACCACAATCCTTGCCTTTATACAGAGGCTGTTAATGCAGAGGATGGGCCTCCAACTTGGTGTTAATACAGGATCTAGGCTAAAAATTGGCCATTACTTGCCTTCTATTGGCCAGGATTTTCAATAATCTTGTTGGGGCTTTCTAAAGTGATAGGAGCAAGTGGGAAGCTAGAGAGGTGTTCTTGGGAATGAGTTTTCTTCCAGTATCACTGAACTCCTGGCCTGTTTTCAGTATATTATATTTGCAAATTCTTTATTCCCTTGAATCTTTTTCTTATGAAATTGCTGTTGCGAATTCCAAACTTCGTTGACAGGGTCATTGTTGTTAGAGAGGAAGTAAGACTTGAGACAGAGGCTCTCAATTTTCAGAAATCAGAGAGACCTCCAGTAGCCTTTGGTCTTGCTGTGGGGAGGAGTGTGGTTCTCCAGAAGCTTGAAAAAACATGTGACCCTACATCATCCAGAGAGTTATGTGCAGGAACCAGGCAGCTCTCATCAGGGGACTTCATCTCCTCTGCAGACAGGATCTGTAACTGTCAGAAGTTGCAAAGATACAAGATCCCAGGGGACTCCACCAGGATGTCAAGGCCCAGCAGCTTGGCCACAGTGTGCCCTGCACAGATTCTGGCTGAGCTCATCAGTCCCTCTTCACCCAGACCCCTATGGATGAAGTTTCATTAGGATGCCCAGTGGTCTCACAGGCCATGCTGTCAAAACCCTCATCCAGCCCCATACCACAGAGTGGACACAGACAGAATATTGCTACCAACAAATGGGAGTAAACAGGCCATGGACAGACTACACCCAGCCAGAAGTGTTTCAACAATTAGAAAATTCTCTTCCTTTGCATCAATCATAAGGTTTATAGGTCACCGAAAACCCACTCTTCCCCACTAGTCTTATACTTAGCTGGCTTCACTCATCTGCATGACCTTCCTGGCTGAGAAGGCACTGTATGTATGTCCCCAGGTATGAACTCTCAGAGCCTATTATGGAGAAGCAGGACACACTAGGAACTGCACACTGATTGTGAGCACACCAAACTTCCTGTGCAGATGCTGGACATCTACTTGTTTGTCCCTCAGAGCAGGTTCTCACTGTATCTACCTGAGAGAAGAGCTATGACAACCTGAGTTAGAAACTGAGGCTCCAGGGAAGCCTTTACCATGCAAGCCATTCTCTTTGTAGACTAACCATCAGGAAAGGGAACCTGGAAAAGGTTTTCTTTTTTACTTTTTAAAAATTGTTTTTCAAGTACAGTTGTCTCCATTCTGCCCCCGACTACAGCCTACCCTAGCCATCCCCACTTCCCACCCTTGATTGTACCCCCATTTGGTTTTGTCCCTGTGTCCTTTTTAGGTGTTCCTGAAAATCTGGAAAAGGAGGTTTTAACTGAGATAGGAGCACAGCAGCCTGGAGAGTCCCTCCCCTATAAAAAGAGCAGAGCTGGGCATGGGGATTGCTCCCTGTTCTGGCTCTGGGAAGGCAGAGTGGTTTCCCTTTGAATTCCTGCACTCCTCTCTAGCCCTGAGGGTGAATCTCCATGAATTTACTCACCACTCCTCAGGCCTGCCCCAAGCCTGCAAGAAATGTAATGGGAAGTGTTCCCTGTGTCAGGGTAGATGCTGTACCTTGAAGGCCCCAGACTAGGGTGGGTATGGAGAAAAGAGAGGGGAGACTAATTTTCTTAGGCCCTTTCCTCACAGCTGCATCCTTATACATGATGGGTTTGGGCTTCCCCAAAAGAGGACATGCCTAAAAAATGTCTATGGGCCCTGTGCTGAGGCCTCCCAACTTTCCTCAGAGCAAAGGGGTTCAAGCTTCAGGCTCTTCACTGCCAGCACTCAAGGGCATTTTTTGCTCTTCTAGCTTCTACTCTGGGTGTAATAGCTGATAATGAACATTATTATTTGTGTATTTACTGTGAGCCAAACTCTGTGCTACATGTTTTAAATATAGTGTCTCATTTCATCCTCATAACTACTCTTTGGAGCACTGTTATATTCATCATCATTCTCATTATATGCAAGGAAAACTGAGGCTTAGTTGGGTAAAGCAATTTGCTCTATTTCTCACAACCAAAATGAGGGGAGGCAAGATTTGGACTGACAGTGGCCCGCTCCTAAGATTCAATTCTTAATCAATGTGTCCTTTGCCTAAATCAATCTAAAGGGGCACATCCTTCCAGATCTTGGTGATCCCAGGATTTAGGATGCAAAACACCCAGAGTGTGCCAGTGAAGTCTAACACCATCCATCAGTCTGCTCTAGTACCCTGCCATCAGTCAGCTATGACAGGCAGAGGGACCATGGTGAGGATGGACATAGTTACAATGGAGCATAGTCAAGAATGACCAAACACTTCTTAAATCTAAAGACATTGACATGTGATATAGCCACTTATTCTGTCTCTGAGTGATTACATGATTTGACTGGTACTGCCGTGACTATCTGCCAGACCCACTTTTGGACCTCACCCAGTGACAAATCTGTACACATTTTCAGAGAGAACTATCACAGTAGCACCTTCCATGTATGGATCCAGCATTGCATACCTGACAACATGCTATAAAGTCATTATCTTGCTGAAGCCCCATCAATGTCTGTGAGGGCCAATGTCTGGGATCACTTAAGAGTTTGTCTTTTTTTTCTAGGTTTTGACCCATTAACCTTTCCTCTACACTAAGGACAGAGCCACATTTCCTGCACCTCTACTCTTGCCACACTCCATTTGAAATGGTGGCTTATAAATATAGACTAGGGCAAAAGAAGCATTTAAACCCAGATGTTCTCATTCTTTTTTAAAGAATACAGCAAATGTATTCTTTACAAACCAACCATCCTGAACTTTCCATTCTAATTTCCACCCTTCCTAAATGTATATCCCTGTGACCGCCTCCTGCTCCTGCCATGTAAGGAAACGTCATGTGCTCCAACACATCAATGGGTGGAGTTATTAACCATGTTGTTTTCAGATCCTCTGTGGATGTTGACCATTTTTTTCCCAATCTGTTTGTCTCAGTGAGTAAATGAAATATCCCTTCTTCTGGTCCACCCCCATACCACTGAAAAATAACATGATTTGGTTCAAGCATTTCTTTCTTTATTTTTTTGTACTTGTGCCCTCCTTAGATTAAGAACAAGAAACCTTGTTCTTAAAAACCTATGAAACCTTGAAACCTATTGAGCAAACATTTGCAGGGTTTCCACTTTATACA